GTCCGCGCAGGTCCCTTGCCGTAGGCGCAGCGCCGAAGGCGGCTGTGCCGAAGGCGTTGACCGCGGTCAACGAATTCCGTCCAGTCTGTCCATTTCTCCCGCCTCTCCGTCGGCGCTCTTGTCCCCGTAAGCCCGACCGGCCGAAGGCGCACTCGTCCATTCCGTCCGTACAGTCCGTACGGTCTGTACGGATTTACTACTCCGTCGGGTCCTCGCCCGTCCGTGATGCGCTGGCGCCGAAGGTGCCGTACAATTTCCAACCCCGAAGGCGCATTTCTAGGGCTGAAGGCGGGCTTCCCGCCGACGCCGAAGCCGAAGGGCCTATGCGTAGGCGACATTCGCGTCCGCCTGTGCATATGTGCAAGTCCTCCCCGCCTACGCGTAGGCGCAATTCGCGTCGGACATCCCGCCGACGTCAAACCCTATTTCGCCTATGCGTAGGCGAACTTCCCTCGTCCGCGCATAGGACAAACTTTCCTCGCCTATGCGTAGGCGAAGATCTTTGTATCTTTCGACCTTCACAACTCCCGGAGTCCTCATCCGTTCCAGGCATTCTTGGGCTCATTAGAATCAGCGCATCAAGTTCTTTTCAACGAAACCCTAACCAAGTCAAGGCGTTTGGGAATTGATCAGGTTCTGAAGGATTTCTCTAGCGCCGAAGGCGCAGCGGCGAAGGCGGATTACGCGCCTTGCGCCGAAGGGATACTCCTCCAGAGCCCGTCGTTTAGGGCGGCGCCTGTCCCAGACGTTGCGCTCAACTCCCGGATTCTACGAGATCTTTCGAGATTCTCCGAGATCATCCAGTTTCATTCTATTTTGATGCACCGATGGCTATTTACACTACTGCCGCGGTACAGTTTTCCAAAAATATTTTAAATTCCTCAAAAATACCAAAAGTGGGGTACCACAGGGGCACCTACCTATGACAAGCGGACCTGTCCTCAGCATATGGCCAAGCAAGGTACGTGGGATACCACAACATACAAGAGAATTCTTGACATCACCCTTACCGCCAAAGGATGGACCACCAAGTCATTCGAGGATGATGCGAAGACGGTCAATGTCAACGCTAATCTGGCCACATCGGTCATTTGTTCCGTTGTCCCTCGTTGATGTGATTGTAGACATTAGAGATGTCGCAATGGATGGAAATTGCGGCTTCCATGCAGTCGCGGCCGCATTGAACGACATGCACCCTGAACGTAATATGGATTGGCGCCAAGTACGCCGTGACTTGCTTGGCCAGTATAAGCAACACCACCATTTTTGGGACGGATTGTTTGGCAAGACGGGGAACATTCAAAAGCGTATGAATTGGTTCCAAAGTGGAACAGCACTAGTCGAACACTGGTTTGATGCACCTCCCGCGGCAATTTTGGCTGCAGATGTGTACACAGGCCTTGTGGTTTTTCTAGATGAAGACACTAAGATAGGCAACTACACATATGTGCCATTTCATACCAGTAGTGGCAGCACGACCCCCATCTGCCTTGTTTTCGTTCGGAAGAACCATTGGCAGCATGCAACATTGAAGACACCGCTCGCATTACATCCTATCTTTACTCTGTGGCGTACACGGAGTGACAAGAAAACACGTGAATCCTGGATGGCAAAACTCAGTTGTGACCTTCTAGCGTCGCCTGGCTTCGAAGGGGAGAAAGACATGGAAACTATAGATCTCACAAAGTAGCGGAAAAAGCGTTGACTTACAGTTGAATAGAGGCATTGACCGGCGCTTGAAGTGTGGCGGGGGATGCGGTTGGATGGGGGGGTTAGGAGTTGGGGTGGCGGTTGGGAGTTGGGGTGGCAATAGCAAAAACAGGGGTGGCAATAGCAATCCCCTAGCCAAGAACCTAAGTGTGTATGCGTAGTACGAAGTCAACAAGTCATTGTCGTCACAGTTTCAAGATCAATCACGCCACTGTCTCCGTACACTCAGCCACCAACCGCCGCGCAGGGAAGAATTACACAGTTTTGTCGTCAGGTCTATGCCTCCGATTGATTCTCATTTGAGCCCAATGCGTGAAGGAAATTGGGCAGAATGTTCCCGAGACCTAGAAAATTGGTGAAATCCGAAACATTTGGAAACTTGTATTGACAGCGACAAAACTTGCCGTGAATCCTAAGAATCTCGGAGAGGATCGTTACTTTTATGTCTGGAAATATCTGAAAAGTGCGGGGATATTTCGTATGTCCCGATTCCCAAGAGTCCTTCCTTCGCGCTGTCAAGTGTGTTGTGTCTAGGCCAAGATTTACATTTTATTTTATCACCTATACTATATTTGATTGGTTTGATATATAAGGTTTTCATTCCCAAAATGTTAACATAATTTACATCATATTGTCTCGACGTGTTTTAATTGGAAATCTGATAAAGAATTTCACTGTTCGATAGAATGTTCAATATTATACAAATTTCAAGGCATGAATTTGCTCTCTACCAAGAACCTAGGATAAAATGATGAAAATTGCTTGTAGTTTCATGCAGATCATTGTAGAAAAGAGTTTTGGTAGATATTTTCTTCATTTTTTTTTCCGTTTAGTATAGCTTGTATTTTCCTTATCATGAATCTTATTTAGAGCAAATTCAGGGCAAAAATGGCTTCATAATACATTCACATGCGGAGTACGCATAAAGATTACTACATGGAGTTGATAAATCTTGTGTCCACCAGCTGAAGAGATCAGACTCAATGAATTGTTTAACAAAATAATAGATTGAACAATTATCTCCTAAACAACAAGGAGAGATAGAAAGAGCGTTGTATGAAGCAAAAACCTACTGAATTACCTGCCTTATTGAGAGAGTAGAGATTAAGTTCATGGGGGCAGAAAAAAAAAATCATTAGAGCATTGTGACGTAAATGAAATGGCATAGTAGAAGGTTATGTAGCAAACTGCTCCATACCCTTCCACGACCTTCAAAAGCCTCTACCAAGTTAGAGATTTTTGAAAATATGTGCGTTGAGTAACTATTTGCCAGCTCCAAGAACATTATCTCATAGCTTTAGAAAATAAATATGCTAAAAAGGCGGATGCATGTCAGCACTGCAACATCTACACATCCGTATCATCAAGTCATTGACTGTTACGTCAAAATTCTTTTGTTCATATCCGCATCACAATTCACCAGTTCAAGTAGAATCATGAAGTGAAGACAAGCACAAAAAGAAACCTGTAAGACAAGCACTGCCGTGCTCCTTTTATCTAAGCTTGTCTTATTAATTAACTTATCTCAACGGGTAATGTTAGTTAACGAGACTAAAGACAATCTCAAACAAATAACAAGTCAATTTTTTGAAATAAATTGTTTCAAACGATTATAAGAGAACAAAATTTTTTGTAAGAAATATTTTAATTTCTCCACCAAAGAAGCAACTTGCACGAGCTACTACAAACAACTTGCATTTATTATCATCAAGTTAAAAAGCTTTGCATTTAATACCATTGGATTTTTTTAAGTATGTGTTCAAAATAATACCTCTCAAAGTTGTGCATGCATCAACCTCTACAAAAGTTCATCATCAACTCTCTTGATCTAAACTCCAAATTTCATATGACTTGTGTTTGGAAATAATAATGATGGATTGATACTCTTTGCTAAAATTTTAGAAAGGTAGTGTTGAAATTCAATACATTGGTTAAGAACACCCAAATAATAAGATTTTCTACAACTAATATATATTTTAAAAATGTTATTCCTCAAGAGTGTGATTCTCTTTTCAATAATTTTATTATAGTATTGATCCAAGATAAAAAATAAATCTATGCTCTATATATTATATACGTCTTTGCCTATATTGCTTACAAATCTTGGTTCTACACTACATTGAGAATTTCAATCTATCTAATGTTATTGAATAATGATAAGGTTTTGTTGTTTTTGATCCCAGTATTTCATATATCATGTGTGAATTTGATTGTATTCTAGATGCAATAACACTTCTTATGAATTGATTTCTATAGAAATACAAAGTTTACTATCACGTATCATTTTATCCGATTGTACTTTATAAAGGCACACGATATCCATGTTATGATATCAACCGACAGTGATTTCTAACATAGTGAGGCAGGAGGAGGAATGAGCAGGAATTGAAGTGAGGCCACGAGTCATTGCAATACTTTTTTTTAGTGCAAAAAAAAGAGGCAAGAGGAGAAAAGAGCAAGAGCAAAGCAGGGTTGAAGTGAGGCCGCGGATCGTTGCAACATTTCTTTGCGGTGCAAAAGAAATGTTGCGGAGGTTGCTGAATTTTGATAAGTTGTGTGCACATCACTAGTCATGCAAATTTTATCCGATGTAAGTTAATTGTCGGCTTTTGCTAGACACTACAAGAACATTCTCGCAGTTGATAGAAAAATGAATTAAATTGTTGTAGCGAAGCGGTTTACATCTATCAATTTGCAGTTCAAATTTGCGATAACATAGATGTTTTCGTCAATCTGCTTTACAGCAAGCCAATTTCTAGCATAATTAATGTCCAGGAGGACTCAATGATACACTATCAAATTCTCTGCCTCTAGAGGATTATAGTTGGTGCTGCGTTAGTATAAATGGCAACCAAGTTGGAGTTTCAAAGCGGTCACTCCCCACACTATAGCCCCGGAGTATATAGTTACAAGAATTTTGTTTAGAATTTGGTGGCGGTATGCATTAGGTGGGATACCATGGGTAAATTGATACTTGATGTGTTCCGCAGGCCCATCAAGTAATTTTCTCTCCCGGTTGTGGACGCTGATCCTTCCATACCTGATAGTGAGAAGTGAATACTTCGTTTGTGTGCAAGACTTCCGCTTGTGGTCCTTGCCAGTCAATATTCTTCCAAGCGCATTCCTCTAGAACACAGTATACACCCGATCGAGAATGAAGCCTTTTCTTCAGGAAGAGTCACTGTCGCATTTTGTTCAAATGAAGTGACAGAGGTCCCTAGAAACGGCACTGTGCAAGATCGCATTCGTATGAGAGTTGCTTATCAGTTGCAGATCGCAACGATGGTGACACGTCTCCAAGTGATTCTTATAAAGGTTGTGACACATTGCACGAATGTTGATGTCCAAAAAACACTAAAGCAGGATAGAAAGATAGTAGCTCAAAGCATACACACGCACGCTCGTTTGCACGGTATCTACCGGAGCAGAGCCCGAGAAACCCATCAAGGTTGTTCTTGCTCATACGTCTGCACTTGGCGTCTCTGTAGAGCTGCTAGAGCGTCTCGAACAAAAGTTTCTCTAGAGAGTCCCTCATCGCGCTTCTTCTCTCCACATTCTTCGCAACGAGAAAACTCGTGAGGTCATATTGATTTATTTGGATTCATGATGAATCATTGAATCCAAATGAATCCTCATCCATGGTGTCTGTGTGAGACTAGGATGATGCGACTTACTGGGCAATGCAGGCGACTTCGCCGGGTGACTTGAAAAGGCGAAGCGACCGATCAATCACATACCTGAGCTACAGAACGAATTTCCGCATTTGTTCTGCACTCGAGATTTTCCGTGCAAAGGAGATCAAGTCATGGTTCACGACCAGTCTGGAGACTTCTGTTTCTTACGGTAATTCGTTTCCTCCTTAGCACAACACATGGTGATAAATCTGGAGTCTCGTTTCAGAAAATACAACCCCTTCGCACCTTCCACCTTATCTGAGAATGTATGTTCGTTCACACGAGAACTTATCCAGCGACCGACAACACCACAATCATAAGCATGCCCACCCACTTTGGTGGAGCACAGAAAGGCAGACAAACTTCTGCCCACTTCACAATATCAGACAGAGTCCTGAAATGGCAGGGATACGAGCTGTGATTCCCTGTGATATGGAAGTACGATGGCAGAAAGTGAGCAAGCAAAAAGCCGGAGAGGAAATGAGTGAGAAGGTGCATCAATATACACACACATGTCATGCGGTAGAAGGCCCCGCTTAGACTCCACAGCCTTTCATGCCATTACGTTCTGCAGCAGGTTTGAAAGAAGAGTGTTCAGGAAACGCTTTTTCCCCTAAAATGAGGATAAAGGTGCGCAAAGAAAGAAGCATGTTACAAAGCATGTTCGTCGAGCCACGACTTTACTACGTGAGCAGCCTGGTGCCACTCGTTATCAAGCATGATGTCATGGGCGCAATTGAGAACTACCACGGGCCGAGTCCCACACCATTCTGCCGTTTCTTGAGAACCTTCAGCATCCACGAGGTAGTCGTTTTCAGCGTGAAGTACAAGAACCGGCGGTATACCTTCTGGAGGTGGAGGCACAGGCAGAGATTTGTTGAGAGCGCGAACGTCTAGAATTGGAAGGCGAGAACTTCTCTTCACTAATTCCTGGTATTCTTTCAGCTCGCTCTCGGGAATGTCCGCGGAGAAGAAACAGTCCCGACAGATTGAACGTGAAGAGCCTACCATCTTCGCTGCAAAACCTAATGTAATCTTTATCGACGCGATGAGATCCCTCTTCATAAAACGAGTTACCATAGGCCCGTTCCCAGATGGAGGAGATGAACAGGCGAGAACAACTCCTGCGGGCCTCGGGCATATCCCGTCGGATTCTTCAGAGGTTGAATTCCGACCCGTATTCGAGAGGAACCATTGCATCACAAGGCCACCGAAAGAATGAGCAATGATCACAGGGGGTGCAGTAAATTTGGACCTTATGAGATGTGCAATGTCCTTCGCGTGGGAATCGAGGGAGCCAGCTACCGCTGCTTGTGGTACATCACTCGCTCCTTGACCGAGAAGACTGACGGCGTAGCAGTCATAGCCTCGAGCCGAGAAAAATGGCATCCAATGGTAAGTCCAGCACCAGGCGGCGTGGGAGCTGCCGTGAACGAAGAGCAGAGGAAAAGTCTTCTTCCTCGAATCCCTCCCTGCAGTTTGCACGATGACCTCCAGTTTCATGCCCGACGGCAACTCGTGGAACTCCTGGAACTGTCCAGATTTCAGTTCTGCCAGAGGCTCTTTCAGAGCATCTGTGGTCTGTATCGCGGCAAAAATCCTGCGGCCATTGGGCCCTTCAATCCTCTGCTGTCTGAGAAATTTCGAACCACTTCCGAGCTTGAGATCGACGAGCTGGAATTTTCGGCTCGATGATCTATCTCGAAATGCCCAAATGCCATTCCGTATCGGAAGGTAGCAAACCTCGGAAGGAACTCGGCAGGACACGCAGCTGCCGGAAATCCCAACGAGGCTCCCCATGGTGTGTTGACAGACAACCTACACCACTGAACGAAATGATTTCTCAGTCTAAACTGAAGCGGATAATTGGTGAACAGGTCATGGATTGCAGGCTCACATTAGCAGGTCTCCTCAACATAATGGCCTGGATCGAGATTCTGCATTCTCCGTCAATTCACTTCATACCGTTCCCTTCCTGCCAGTTTCTCCGTAAAGCCGATTGGAAGACCCCATCAACTCATGAATTTAAATGGGTAAAATTGTGTCTTCCTTTGATGCTGTATCATGAAATATCAGATTTCTCCCTCTCTGCGCACACAAGTTGTACCAAGAGTGGTACAATTTGTAGACTGACACATCTCTCTCTCTTCTTTTTATCCAATGCAGAGAACTGGCAATTTCGGGTTTGCTTAAACGGTGCTTCTTTCTCTTCACTGTCAAAATTTGATCCCTGCACCCAAATTCATGCTAAGAATCTCACTGCCTGCCATCTGTCATGGCATTGACAATTATGCCCTTCTATTCACGAGAATACAAGGTGTCAAACTGCTAAAAAAATTGAGCCTATATTGATTGAGTGTTCAAGTGTGAGTATTTACTCGTGGATAAATGCTATAGCATCGATGGACTGCCTCGATTGGACCTTCCACAAGATAAGCTTATATTTCAAATTCTTTGAAAAGAATGAAATGAATTTGAAAAACAGATTCTTTTCAATCCGCAGATGTTAATAAAACGCTATTCCAATTTCAAATATCGACTCGACAAACATTTGATAATAATCCCCAAAGTCTAGCCTGTTTTTTAGAACACACTTTTCTAATTTCACTTGGCCCTTTATCATCATGAATAGCATATCGTTTTATCGGGACTCTAAGTTTCTTGCATGTTCGCGGGCATTAAAATATTCTTAATTTTGATCCTACTTGAAATTTAATGATGCAGTGCACAAATGATAAAATTGAAAAGTGGTCTCATTCTTTTTATGAATATAAGTCAATAAGAATAAAATATTTTTCTCTAATTTTTTTTGCACTCTCTGGCTATTTGAAGGCTAAATAAATGTCGCAAAAAAGGCAGAATGAATGCCATTGAATTAAATGCAACATTTATTGTCAATGATATGTAGGATGCTCTAGTTTAAGTCATTGTTGGATCTATTGATAAATAGTTAGCTATATTATGTAACATATAATTTATTTCTCATTTTCAGATACTATGGGGTAAGCCCTATTTCTTCCCCTCCGTTTGGTCCATATCATACTTGATGGGTCTTCCCAACATGCAAAAAGTATATTGCCTTTTGCCGTCGATCCCCGCCAAAATCATTTAAACTTACTCAGAGAACTATTGTATTAGAGTGAGAACTAATCCAGTCAATAGATAGAACATGTGAACACAACACACAACATTGGAGGTTCTCGCCGAAGGCAGGTTGAAATATACTTGGAAGAGGCAAGATTTATCAAACCTATGCAGAAAAATTTCAGCAGATTTACAGTCTTCTATCAGATTTGCTATTTGAAGCACTAGGCCACTCTCCTTATTTTAACCTTCTAGTTCCCGGTGCCAATAGACAAAGGTGAAAAACAGGTCAATCCACGCTTGTAATCTTGCTGATTAGTTTAACGATTCAGCCTTCTCGTCTCCTCCTCTCAACTACTATTTTCGAACATCTTCAGACGGGTAAGCTCTGTGCCCAGCACGGTCGGGAGGCATCATGCGACCATACAGACCACTACGATGAGACGCAAATTATCATAAAGGCATGGCCCATACAGGTCTCGAACCTGTGACCTTCGCGTTATTAGCACGACGCTCTAACCAACTGAGCTAATGGGCCACTCGCTACAAGTAGATCACATATATACATTTTAACCTTCTATTGTCTGAATGAAGTCACAGCCAAAACATCATAGTGTCAAACACGTACACTGCACTCGTTCTCATCAAGCACTTCAACGTTACAGTAGTGAGCCTTGAGTTGAATTCGCGAATCTTTCAGAGAATTGTAGACACGATATTGAAGGTCAGGGAGACGGTCATGCGGCCTGAGTAGCCGAGCAGCACCGAAATTGGAAATTCCAAAGTGCCGATTTCAAGTGAAACTTCCCCGCGCGTGTGCACAAACAGCATTAGAGATGTCCACATTGTGAGGGAAGAAGTCGAACCAACGTTGTCTAGATGCCATCTCCGACCAGCTGAACAATAAAAAGTATCTATATAGAACATTGTCAAGCTAATACCGCGAGAACTCTGCTCATCTTGCGCTTGCTCAATTGGTGATTTCGATCAGGGGATTTCGGTTTCTTCGCTTCAGAAAGAGCTGCATTAGAAAGTATGAAACGAGTAAAGGTCTGGTGAAAATTGATCCATATGCAATCGAACCAAAAGGAGTCCTTCAAGTCCTGAGTTCTCTCTCAGCAGCTCATAAGATTTTACATCATTTGGAAAATGAAATACCAAAGAACATTTTATCAAATTCATCCAAGAAAGACTTTCCACTATTGGCATGAGTCTACATGACGTTCTGGTAGCATGATGTGATATGATCTGTTATTTAATAACATTTGCTTTTGGCTACAGTGGAACAGGATGGACTCTGAATGTTCCAGCATGTACGAAGCGACTCTAACCTCCATTTTCAGGTTCAAATTGTTATCATCCTCATAACGAGAAGGTATATCGCGCTAAACTCACTAGTGAATTTTCCTGTTCTCATGCATCCAGCTCAACAATGCGGTGTAATTGAACCTTATGTACTGAAACGTTTATGGCAATTATGGCCGTGGGGCTCAGATATGGTTCTACATGAGCTACATCTTGAGGGTGGAGTCCAATTTGACTAGGTGTCAGAAAGCTATGACTGGACAATCTTGCACTAATAATGCCAGCTCGGAGGGTGCGTCTAGTATTGCCAAATCTTTAGCTCCTCATGTTTGGCCTAAATCCTATTATTCGGGCACGGAGAATATCATAGTGAAGCTTTTTCTGTATTTGTTCATCGAGAATTGATGTTGAGAGTGTTACGGTGGAGGACAAAGATAATCCCTCCGAAGATCCATACATTCTGCGCAATGTGCTTGGGAATTGTCTCTGCAAGAGATACTTTGCGTTGACGACTTAGAGAGTGTTTGCCTTGCGTAGAGCAGGTGACAATTCTTGAGTCTGCAATATCTGCTCGTATCACGAGTCTCAAAGTTGAAGAAGGAATACAGCGTTTGCACGAGTCAAAGAGCAACGTCAGCGTTGCTCAGAAGATTATTGTCAATCATGCAGGACGTGACACCTCTTCAAACCATCTGTTTACAATGGTGTTAAGTCTTTCATCAATTTATCTTTCCTTCTATAAGAACGCCCATGTCAATATGGTTAAATTTCGCACACGTTCGCATGAAGTTCAAACATCTTCTGAATGGCTGATTCTGCTTTCGATCACTTGTGGATTTTTATCAACTTTTGAATGCTTTACTTTTTACTAAGCCACTTATCTATGAACGATGCAACATTAAGTTGTTGTGAGGTGACTTGACTTTACAAACAAGAAACGGCATACGCACGCTATATTAAAGGCAGGAAAACGCTAGGCAGCGGTACAAAGAAAAGGTCCACAAAGGCTGGAGAAAAAGCAGGGCCAAAAGAAAATGGAAGCTATTATCTGTTGATAGTTCTCACGTCTGATCTGATGTAGTCTACATGCGGATCATGAACAGGGTGTGAATGGAATCAGACTACGAGTTTGAATGCGTTTGTTTGTAAGTTCGAGCATGGTTGTATGTCCGGCTCTATAGAATTGCGACGGAATTAGCAATATACTCCTGTCTGTATATGGTTTTAGAGTTTCATCAGAGCTCCGGCTTTTCAAGTTCTGGCCTTTTCAGAAGCACCGAACATCAAGGGTCGTGTTCAACGTCGTTCAACGAGAACCTTTACGCACACCAATCGGGATTATCCCTAATTTGAATTACGTGAAGCCACGAAGCAATAAATGGTGAAGACCACGGATCAAGATATCCATAATCTCTTGAGACTTGATTCCTGATGCAAGAATGTTGACCGTCAATGCTGCTACTCCGACATCACTGGCAATTTTTACCAATTTAGCAAACTTCCAGCCTTTGTCCTCTCAGGGAAGAAACAAGTGCCCAGGTTTACTCGATCGTGACCCAATCTGCGATAAAGGGTTCAACTTGCCGTGTGACCAAACTGCTGAAGGTGCCCTCGCAATTAGAGAAAAATCACACAGTGCTTGCAACTCAACATTACAATTCATCTCCGCTGGGTGGATAGCAAGGCCTTCGGGCCAGTCCAGAACAAAATTACGGAGCAAGAGTCAAGCGCTAGAGACCCCAAATAGTTGTCGACGCTTGCTTGACTATCTGGAGGCAATTTTGACAAATCTCCTCCCTCAGTCGTCGGGAAAGAACCGTCGTGATGTCTCGCCAAACACAGCTTCCAGGGAGAATCTGACCATATCTGGGCAAGCCAAAAACTCTCGGAGCCCCTGGCATCCGTCCAACATCATCTTCGCAACAGATTATGACGTCACCTGTACCATCGTGGATTCCTGCAAAGTCCTAGTGCGGGCAGCAGAAGTGGCGGCCTTGAAGAGGCCTGGTAAGGACATTGCAGTGCCATGGCAGCCGGGAGATTTCCTCAGAGACTACAAAGCTGCCTTGAGCCGGCACGCCGAGCGGACGAGAGCGATCGTGCAGACCTTATTTTCCGAACACAAGGTATCGGATAAAGGTTGCGAAGCATCGTCTTGCTCGCCGCGATCCGGTCGTGATTCGTTCATCCCTCAAGGTGAACATGAAATGAAACTCTCAGTGAAAGCTTTGTCGAACAAAATCACCGACGGAGTGAAGCTAAACGAGAAACTAAGCCCTTACAGAGAAGCGGAGCTTCGTATGGCTCTGACGAAACTTGCCATGGTGGAGATGATGTGCAATCAGGACGTGAACTCGCTCGGCGTTCTGCGCGGACCTACCCGAGAAGAGATCCGAGCGGAGGCCGCTGTGCGCGTCCGTCTGAGAGCCAATTGCTCCAAGGTTTTGCAGCGCTTGGCTCAGAGCGGAACACCAGTTCACGTTGTTTCTGCCAACTGGTCCCGAGATTTAATCGTGGGAGGGCTGCCGAAGTTGCCGGATGATAAATTGTTCATTCACAGCAACGACCTCGTGTTCGACTCCGCCGGTCGATCGCTGGGGATTATCGACGGTAAGGTGGTGGATGCCTTCGACAAGGAAGAGGTTTTGAGAGCTCTCCGGGGCTCCCGAGACGCGAAGACCTTTGCTGCTAGCAGAGGAAAATCACAGCCAGATTCTCGCCCTCGGCTGCTGCCTGCACCGCATGCAGCAACTAAAGAGATGGATGACGAGGGAAAGTCGGTTCTGGTGTATGTAGGTGACAGCCACACGGATCTTCTGGGATTATTAGATGCAGATCTCGGAATCGTGATCGGAGAAAGTTTACTGATGAGGCGGATCATGGCACTCTTCGGTATCCAACTTCGTCCTCTGGCAGAAGCGTCTACTCGTATTTCCGTGGCTCGTGTGTCCAACTCCATGTTAAGTTACAGGATGTCGGGCTACCTGTTCGAAGCCCGAACTTGGACTGATGTCGAAACCTGCCTTTTCTGAGGCCAAGCAGCGATCGACTTAGCCTCGATTTCTGATTCTGAGCATGTCGATTCCCAGACTTACTAATCTGGAGCTCTGCTCATTGATGATACTGGAAGCTCTGTTTTCAGTCCATAGCGTGGAACTGCCACGACAGCAGTTAAGCTGAAGGGGACCTCGAGGTGAAGTTAGTGGAACGTCTGTTCATAAGTTCATCACATTCTGATGTTATGAATTCGGCTAACGTCCATTGTTGTGAGGTAATGGACCAATCAAAACAAGACTTAGTACTAAATATTCAGAGTTTCACAAGAACTAGCTACTGTAACGTTAAAGAGGGGTTTATTCAACTTGGGAAACATTGTCAATGCATATGTTTATCTTTATAATCATACATAGATCGTAGATTCCTAACGTGAATTATTATCCGGTTTGATCATGAACCTGAAATTTCTCAATCACGAGACACACATTTTACGAGTACAAACCTCATTAAAATATTTCTGAAACATCGATCCTAAGGACACATAATTTATAGGGTACATTACCTTGAATCCGTTTCTCTTATCAATATGATAACTCAAATAGTTCTTCTTACACCATATATATTTCTCTATGTTCCATTAAACAATTATTTGTGTAATCTTATCAACTATAATATTTTATCTATTCAAAGTAGCTACTTGATTATTGATAAGCTTCTTAACATTCTAGAAAGAGTTCAAAGTAGGAACTTGTCAACCATCCACATATCAGCCCAGTTAGACTTTTCTTGAAGATATATGCTACTTAATACGCCGAAGAAATAAACCAATTCTTTCTATTATTATTGAGCACCAATTGAATAATATAATTTTTCTCCTTGAATTTTTTCACACCAAAAAATAATTATTTGGCCAAATCAATCATGCCATCCCAATTCTAAACGTTTTTGAGAGAATAAAGTCACAAAAATATGTTTTTGATAGTCATCATGTCGCAGGTCAGCTGATATAGTCTTGGGATCAGACATAACTTATGCTATCATATACTTTGCCTCGTTCAGCCCTCATTCCGAGTGACAATCAGACCTAAAGCTGACTTGAAGTTCACAGGAGTTTTGTTTCAAGCACAAAAATGTGTTAGTAGAGTGTCTGTAGGAGAACGTCATTAGGCTGTGTCATACCGTCTGAAGCCGGAAAGAACTGGTTGCGAACTCCTTCTGTCAAACCGAAATTTATATGAACTTTACATTGTGGAATCGTAGACTGTCCTGTCCTACTAAAGTTGTTCTTCAACTCAAGCTTCTAGCCTTCCTATTCCACCGTGTCCACTCCCTGTTCGTGTTGCCGTAAACTCATCCACAACCTAAGGAAAAAGGACGAGAACTCAAACAAATACTTGGCTTTGCTTTTAGTTCTGAGGTTCTTGATTGTATGCGAGTTGTGTGTTCTCTTCAAATACGTACATATTTGTCAACTTTACATAGTCAGAATATTAAGTGGTCTGTTCTATTATAACATTTACGATATCGACCCTGAATTCCACCCTTTTTTTGAATCAAAGTCGAAAGCGGGCCGAGTGGATAGCTAAACAGATGAACCGAGTTGCTGTGATCTCTCGAAAATACTTCAAACGTCATCCCCTACTTTCATAGTATGACACGGCAAATCTAAATTTATAACCATTCAGTGCCAATTGTCCGAGTATCACGGCGGATACTGTAAACGAAAGCTGTACTCTAGGATATTCACCCAGAAGTGTGTCGCAGCACCTCGCATTTTTGCGACAAAAAGGTGGGGCGAGTGAGGCTCGAACTCACGACCTCCGGATTACTCGCTCTAGCTATGAGACCGACGCGCTAACCAACTGCGCCACCGCCCCTTCATGCCTAACCCTGAAATATATTTGAGTATATTTATTTGTTTTTCTTTACTTCACGACGGAAATTAATCCAGTTTGAGTACAAATCTTACTTTAAACAGAGAATATTCATCTTTAAAGTTCGAGGGGGATGGATAATAAAAATTTGGTGGACCTGAACGAGAGATGTCGAATGAACCAATTGAGAAATGATCTATTGATGTAAGGTCGAGGTAAGGCAACATTTAAGTCCCCAAAATTATTAGCTAATATCTTGAACTCGTCTGACACGAATTACTAGATCAGGACCAATGTACAGAAGTTGGAAGAAGGGGTTATAGTTTCGGGTAGGTAAATCACTTAGTGTTTGCTATGCATTTGCATGGCTAACATTGGGCTTGAATCCCAAGGCGTTCATCAGGAAACAAGTCAGTAAAGCCTTGTTCTCATTCCCATTCTAGTTCTTCATCGTGCGTAGAATAGTTTTCGTTTATCATTCCCGGTTATATATGATGAAGTGCGTGGCAGCCACTCGGGTTAAAATACACATTGTATGCATGCTGAAATTTGCACTTCTCGTCACATTACATAGGAAGACATAAAATTCAAAACAACCGTCTATTATAGCGATTAATTTATTGGGGTAATTAAAGTATCGGAAAGGTAGTAACTAAGGTCAACTATTCAATAAAGCTATTGGAGAATCCATCAAGTTGTCAAAAGAGACGAAAATTAAGACATATGCCTATATATAATTATTATGAAATATAATCATTTCCGTGTGTTTTGGTGGGAGAAGCTAGCTCACGACACTTTCGCTGCATATTCATCGTTGTCTTACCTCCGGCAAGGCATAAACATTTCTAACAGTCGTTGTATACTTAACTCTATGATGAACTATAACATATTTTGCACTAAAGTTTTAAAGGGGGATACATGATTCTCTGGACTTATTTTTAGATACTAAAGGATTCGGGAGCTTTTTTCTACAGACTCCACAACGAGATCCTTAGGATCTCGTTGTATATAAATTGGTCAGGATGGTAGATATGCGGCTCTCCTAAGGAACCTCCGGTATTAGGGATTGGAAATCGGCAAGAAACCAAATCTAAGCTCAACGCCTACGAGTAGTATACTCAGACCGCTGCCACATGACCGGCAGCGGCCTGAGTATCCTACTCCTAACCTTATGGGTAGGAGATAACCTGGTTTTTGCAAGCCTCAGTTGTACATCTGGATATAATTCCCTAACCTCTACCACACGTCCGACATTGTCTTCGGAATGCAAAGAACCTGCCAACAGGTATCTAGTCTATCGAGAGAGAGAGAGAGCATACTTTCCATGTCTCTGCTGAATCATGTGGGAAAGAGTACTTGTAATAATAATGTGAGAAGTCGCAAAAATAAACATGGAATCTATCTATCCCGAGAAAACAAGGTTCTAATGAAAGTGCATGATATTTTACCAAAACCAATTTCTTTGCCATCTAGGATTTCTTAGGCCCTTACCACACTACCGGCGGCCGGCAACGAGCTCCTGGCTAGCGAAAAAAAGAATCTTCGTAGACACCCCTCATCCACCTAGACATTATCTACTAACAGTTACCACACGGCCGGCAGCGGCAGGAATGAAAGAAAAGATTTAAAGTACACCTCTTGAGAAGAAGATAAAACAATCACCTCAAAATTTTTCATTTCTTCTCTCTCACTCCGAATCCATAAACTTCAATGCTCATTTTCTTCACTTCCACGGTAGACTCTTGCATCCTAAATCATCATTCATCTTCATTTTCTTTCCATAGATTCTCACAATGAACAATGACGTCCATGTGTTCACCTACTTTTTGTTTTTATGCGGAATTAAAAACCTTTTTGGAAAACGGTACCGCAGCAGCCGTGTAAATGGTAATCGGTACATTTAAATAGAATGAAGATGGATAATCGCGGGTCTCGTATGATCTCGTATAATTCAGGAGTTGGGCGCAATGTCCGGAACAAGCGCACCGACCTGAACGATCAGTTCTGAAAGGGATTTTCTTTTGGCGCAAGGCGCATAATTTGCCTTCGGCGCTAGGGAAATCCCTCAGAACTTATTCAATTCACAACGCCTTGACTTGGTTAGGGTCCCGTTGGAAAGAACTCAACGCACTTGTTCTAACAAAACCAAGAACGCTAAGAACGGATGAGGAATCAAGAAATTATGATGATCGGAAGACAAGGAGAGGGAGCGCCTTCAGCGGAAGGGCTAGGTCGACGGACGAGCCGCCTTCGGCTCAGCCACCTTCGGCCCTAGATGTTCGCCTTCGGGTGTGAACTTCTTTGTACGGCGCCAACGGCGCCAGCACATCAAGATTAAGTAAACGCCTTCGGGGGTAGCAACTCCGTACGGTCCGCCTTCGGCGCAACGCCTTCGGCGGTACGGACATGTGCGCCTTCGACAGAACAGAGCTCCGGCGGCAAAAGCGCCTTCGGAGGGACAAGAGGGATCGACAGACATGACAATATCCGTTGACTGCGGTCAACGCCTTCGGCACAATCGCCTTCGGCGCTGCGCCTTCGGCGATGCACCTACGTCGACGGACGTCTTCAAGAAATCCGCCTTCGGCGCTGGGAGTCAACGCCTTCGGCGCTGCGGGTCAACTGTGGGATAGATAAGAGTTGCGAGTCGGTCAGAGGCGAAAGCTTTCGCCGCCGCGCCTTTGGCGCTGCGCGAACAAGGCCGCGGCGAAGTACGATGGCAGAAATCAAATTCAATTTTTGAGCGTGTGAGTCCGCGCAACGGCGGAGCGTGAAGTCGAGCGTGCGAGAGGAGGGCCGTTACGCTTCCAAGCCGGCGCAGCCATTAAGTGAGTTGACACTCACGACCAAGTGTCGACCATGAAATCTTGTGAGCCGAAGGCGGGCGACTCATTCTTGAATTTGCGATTTCGATTTATCGTGAGAGCTGCGCCCGCACACATTTTGGCAGAGAGAATTCCGCGAAGGCAACGCGTAGAGACTTGCATAGCAGAGAGAGAATCGAGTGCGCGACCGCGGGAATTGAGGGAGAGTAGAGTTTGCAGAGGAATCGCAGCCGCGGGCAAGAAGCTTGGGCATAGCGAAGGAGAGTTTGCGAAGTACGATTTCAAGAACGCGATGTCGAAAGCAACTCAGCTGCGGATGATTCCGCAGAAGATTCCGCAGATTGGCCTGCGTGCTTTCCAACACCAGCTGTCTGCGATGAAGCTCGATTTCCTCCCGTGGGGATGGAATTACGTGTGCCAGGACATGGTGCGCGAATGGCAGAAGGAGACCAACCTACGCGCGGGTTTCGACCACACGTAGAGCGATGGACCATCCAAGATTGGGAACAGGTACTGGGACGATGTGCGGGAGAGGACGGACATCTCATATTCGATAGCGAGAGCATCAAGGTCACGAAGGAGGAGGAGATTTCCTTCGCGACCCAGTTCAAGAGTGCCAAGTCCAGCAAGAACGGGTACAAAACCCAGTACTACAAGGATCGCTACCGCAGAGATGTCCCGGTAGCACTTCTCCAACTCTTGCAGCCGCACAGGACCACATACATCACTTCTTGGCAAGTATCCGTCGTAAAGCTGGCGCTAGTCGGAGCTCCGATTCACTAGGCGCACATCTTATTAAAGATAACGCGGCATCATGCGTTTGAGGAGAAGGGGGGATCGATCAATCACCTCTCCCTCTTCTCGATCAACTTTTATCGGTCGATGGGTTGTCTAACCGCGACCGAGCGTGT